GTGACCTACGGAGGGGGGACCACGCCCAGTAGATCCAACCACGACTCGTGGACCTGTTTCGTGGGTCAAGTCCCTCAAATTCAACCCCCAGCCATGAACCACACCAATGCAGGTTGGTCCATGGACCCATCCACAGTCAGTGGATGGGGTCCGCAGATCACACCTGTAAAAGCTGGTTTTGGTTCGGCTAAGGAGAAAGTGGTTTGGTAAATTGTTTTTATAATTAGTTAAGTTGAGGGATAGTTATTTTGGGTTAATTATGGTATTTTAAGAGTATTAAAAGTATTAAACTCTATTTTTCAATTCATTATTTCAAAATCCAAATTAGAACCCACCTCTCTTTTCAAAAGTTCTCTCTCTAGAAACCTCCATTAGAGGTGAAGGATTCAAGCTCTCAAGGTCAAGACCTCACCATTTTCACTCAAGTTTTGTGGATTTCTTCTCTAAAAGGTATGGTAGTCTTATCCTTGACTTAGTTTCTTTCAAGGAGCCAGTTTCAATAGTGATTTCAAATCTCTAATGTTTCCCCAAAAACCTTAGTTTTCAATCTTAGCATGGGTTCAATGCTAAACGTTTTCCAAATGCTTCATTGCATTGACTTATTAATGAATTGTGGATTTAAAGATGAATTAAAATGATTTCTCCCTTGAACCCATGTTTTCCCCCAAAATCCTAAGTTGTGATTTGTGATTGGGAATTGATTGAACCATGAAAGTATGTTGAATTGTTTATGTTTATATTGAATTAGTTATCGAATCATGCTAATTCCCTTATCTATTGTAGTATCTTAGATGTTTGGGTTGTGATTGATGTATAACCTTGGAAGGAAATTTAATGAAGGATTTATGTATGATTATGATGTGTAGTATATGTGTGTGATCTCAATGAAAGAACTATGATCATGTTTAGAATGTAATTGTGTTATGATTGAAAGCATATTCTCAATTAACACTCATGAATGATGATGATAGAATGTGAAGGGTTTCTATAATGTAATGCTATATCTTGAATTAGTAGGCTTATGCATCCTTTTCTTGTATAAATAAAAGTAATGTGGATTGATGTATCTTGAATTGGTAGGCTTAAGGCATCCTTTTCTTGTATTGATGAATGTGACCTTGAGTGTTGTATCTTGAATTGGTAGGCTTAGGCATCCTCTTCTTGTATAAAAAATGTATCTTGACTTAATGAACATTAATCGGTAAACCTAATGGTGGTAGTGCTTTCATGAGGAGTTTATGAATGAACGTAATGATGGACCTTGAATCGGTAAACCTAATGTTGGTAGCCCTTTCCTAAATGAATGATGAAGTATTCTAGGCTATGACATGAACCGGTAGATCTAATGTTGGTGGCCCTTCATGATGAGTCTAGGAACTATTGTGATGATAAACCTTGAATCGGTAGACCTAATGTTGGTGGCCCTTTCTTGTGTGAAATGATGAACCTTGAAGCGGTAGACTTAATGATGGTGGCCCTTTCTTGGAAAGTCAATGAGCTATCCTTAATGTACCTTAAATCGGTAGACCTAATGGTGGTGGCCCTTTCTTATGTAATGTACCTTTGGTCGGTAGGTCTAATGTTGGTGGCCCTCTCAAGTACAATAATGTTAATGAAAATGAACTACTCTCTGGGAATGGATGCTAAGTACCGAGTGGATATGGTAAGATGGATGTTATCCCTACGTTGGGTCGAATTTCAATGAACATATTTCTTATCCCTTAAGTATGTGCCCACATAGGATAGCTAGTGGATCCACTTAAGCTAAATACACTTAGTTCTACCTTGGGCAAGTAGAACACATTCTTTCGGTGTGGGGTCATACGACACCGAATTCCATGATTTAGCTCTCATGGTCTATGTCGGTTAATGTCTATTCCCATTATGTGAGATATGCATTATGGTTTCTTGAGAAGTTCTATCAAGTGTGGGTGGTAGTATGGCATTCTATCCATGCATTGCACGAGTAGGCTTTGAGAGGGCTATAGTGAGTTCTCTAATGTCTTAATGACTAATGTATGAATGTGCACTTAATGAAGATAATGAAGAATGTTGACTTAAATGTCTAATGTAATGATGCATGTTATACTTGGATTGTATTATGAGTTACTTCTTTGTCATGACTTATTGAATATGAATGTGCCTTGTCTATGGTGGCTCCAAAGAAGTACTTAGTGTCAGTAGTAATATGAGATGCTACTTAAACATTGCACAAGTATGACTTAGGGTTGTCCTAGATGTTGGTCCTAATGTGTTGATATGACTTATGAAATGTTTATGTCTCTTATATATGTGTATTGTGTGAAGATGGAAAGGTTGAATGGTAAGTTCACTTTTTGTGACCTTAATGTGGTACTTCAGTGTGGATGGTGGTATGAGACACTATCCATAGATTGCACAAAGTATAGCTTGAGGGTTACTTGAGGTGAAGGCTTAATGTAAAGGTAATGGTTTATATGTTGATTATGCCAAAATGTGAAGAAATGACTTGTATGTTGATTATGTCTTATACTCATGTTCATGAAGGTTTTCTCAAATTGGCATAAAGCATGATTTCCAAAGAAAATGTCTGTTTTAAGCATGATTTTTGCATGGCTATCATACTTAGTACTTTATGTGCTAACCCATATTTCTTCATTTTATACCAAAGTGTAGGGTTTGGAGATTTGATGTTCTATACTTGAAGAATAGGTTTCTGAGGATCTTGGAGATGAAGACTTGGTGAGTCCTCATAGTTTCGAGGACAAAGCCCACTATGTTTCCTTTTTGTCTTTCATTGTATGTTTAGAGTCTTTGTATGGGAAATGTCCCAAAGTTGTATCCAAAGTATTAGATGGTTTGAGACATAGTATAGAAAGTCTTCCGCTTGTTTTTATGAAATAGGATTTCGATTGTAAAGAAAATTTTTAATTCCGCCTTATTTTCCTATGTCCTTATGTTCAAGAATGTTATGAGGCTTGTATGAGACCCCTTCGGAGTCGAATACGCCGAGTCACGTCTAAGGGATAGCCTTGGGTCATGACAAGATATATCTATCCACGCATCCGTTGCGGCGTGCGACACGACTCTCGAAAATCCATCGCGGCGTGTGACACGTCCCTCAATAATAGAATCCATCGCAGCGTGCGAAAAGTCCCTAGAATCATAATAATTGTTGCGGAGCACGCCACGTCCTAGAAATGATACATCCTCTTTAATTTCTTATTTTTCCTCAATTCACATAACACTTGTCACAATCATGTCTCAGAACTAATGCAAATGACATGTTCACACAAATAATGAGGAGATGACCATTTACATAACAATGCACAATTCACAACCACACAATCATGATACAATATCAATAAGCCTTTCCACAAACTATTAGCAACACATCACACACCAATAATTAATCACATTGCCTTTTATTACCCTTTTTCATAATTAGAATTATTCAATATGGACAATTCAACTATCACCAAGTCACAGTACTCCCCAACACATACCACAAGGAAATACACGATTCTATGCACTTAACAAGGGTTTATAATTCCACTTGCCTCAATCAATCAAGCAATTACTCCGGAATTTGAGTCTTTCCATTTCGTTGGGCTTCCAATTTAATGCAATATATTCACACAAAAAATCGCGATAAGATTTCTAGTTTAACAACACCCATATTACTATAATCCAGTTCCTAATTCTTGATGCCAACCAATAAGTTACATATCATCCTCCTAAATTTTAAGCCTAGGTTAAGTCTAATTTCCTCCAAATATCATAAATTTGACAATATTCATATCAAACAATATACATAATATTTAATTTCATATACCAATATATCAAAACTTGAAACTTGAATCATAATATGATAATTAAAGTAAAAATTAAATCAATTTGTTACGAAATTTTTTTCAGTAGAACCTAACCCATTTACAATAATACACTATACATCATTCTTAATTTCTACCTAATGATTGGATTAGACCATGACAATCATAGCCAATTATGCCAATGACAATCACTGCCAATTAAGATAGTCCACCATAATTTTGTAATGAAATAGTACTATAACACTATAGTGCAACAATCCGAATGTGCAAATTTGAGTCGGCCGCTCCATTATCTTTCTACCCGTAATATAATATTTATTAACTTAATATAATAATTATATGCATATAGGCACAACTTGGATGAATAAAAAGAATTCCATACCTGGTCGTGCTCTTTCTTTTTCTTCTTTTCTTCCGCAGTATCCAGGTTAGTTTTCTTCCACCTCATTCTTTTCTCTTTCTAAATTAATTATGTACTAAAAGTGATAAATTTTACTCATTTATTTTATTATATATGGGTTAAATAGTATGGGGTCTTACATAGATTTCAGACTTGGCCAATTATTTACCAACTAGCTTAATTATTTAAAAAATACCCATCAATTAATTAACTCAAGTTAAACAAATAGTTCAAAATTCCTAAAAATGACCTTTCGGGTCACTACATTATCGACCACTAAAAACCATGTTCTTCCTTGAACATAAAGTAAAAGAAAGAACCTGAAGCTTTGAAAAGCTGAGGATATTTGGCACGCATGCCTGACTCCGCCTCCCAGGTCACCTCTCCAACTGAATGGTGCTTCCACAACACCTTCACTTAAGCAATCTCCTTGGTCCTAAGCTTTTGAACTTGCCTAAACAATGTAGCTATGGCTCCTCCTCGAATGTCAAGTATGGACCCAGCTCCACTGGATCGAGTGAAAGCATATCAGACTCATTTGGAATATACTTCCAAAGCATAGAGACATGGAAAACAAGATGAATTGCCAACAAACTAGGTGGCAAGGCCAACTTATAGGCCACCTCTCCCACTCAGCTCAAAATCTTAAATGGTCCAATGAATCTAGGGCAAAACTTTCCCTTCTTGCCAAACTGAATCACACCCTTCGTGGGTGACACTCTAAGCCAAACATGATCGCCCTACATAAACTCTAAGGCTCTAACTCTCCGATCTGCATAACTCTTCTGTCAACTCTGGGCTGTCAACAGTCTATACTGAATCATACGAACTTGATCCATAGAATCTCGAAGCAATTCTGTATCCAAAGAGTCCATCTCTGCTGAGTCAAAACATCCGATCAGAGATCTACAATGTCTACCATACAACGTCTCAAATGGGGCCATCTGAATACTAGAGTGATAATTGTTATTATAGGCAAACTCTGCTAAAGGCAAATGCCGATCCCGTCTCACACCAAAATTGATTACACAAGCTCGGAGCATATCCTCCAACACCTGAATCGTTCGCTCGGACAGGCAATCTGTTTGGGGTGAAAAGTTGTACTCATATCTAACTAAGTACCCAGCCCATGATGTAATGCCTTCCAGAAATAGGGAGTGAACAATGAACCTTGATCAGAGACAATAAAACTGGGACTCTATGTAGTCGCACAATTTGACTGATATAAAGTTCTGCTAACTTCTTTGTCGTATACTTCACCTGAACCAAAATGAAATGGGCAGACTTGGTCAGCCTATCAACAACAACTCAAATGGAGTCATAACCACCCACTGTGGTAGGCAAACTCACAACAAAGTCCATAGTGATCCGCTCCCACTTCCAAGTAGGAATAGGCATCCTCTGAGATATACCCCCGGGACACTGGTGCTAACACTTGACCTGTTGGCAAGTCAAACACCTAGAAACAAAGCATGCAATATCCCTCTTCATGCCACACCACCAGTAATGCTGACTCTGATCATGACACATCTTCGTCGCTCTCGGATAGATGGAATATTGAGAACAATGGCCCTCTTCAAGAATCAATCTAATCAACTCGCTTGTCTTAGGCACATAAATCATCCCTCTGATATTCAAGACACCATCAGAATCAAGGACAACCTCCTTGGCTTCCCCTCTCAACATTTTCTCTCGAATGATACATAACTTGTCATCATCAAATTGGTGTTCAAGGATCTTCTCGACTAAAGAAGATCGAGCCTCAATAAAAGCAATCATACCATCACTCTCCTCTAAAATCTGCAATCGGACAAGACTATTAGCTAACATCTAAACATCTCTAGCCAATGGTTTCTCCTTAATACTAAGCATGGAAAGACTCCCCATGCAAGGAGTCTTCCTACTTAAAGCATCGGCTACCACATTGGCCTTCCCTGGATGGTATAAAATGGTCACATCATAGTCCTTCAACAACTTAAGTCATCTTTGTTGCCTAAAGTTCAGATCCCTCTGACTAAAGAAGTACTGAAGACTCTGATGATCAGTGAAGATCTCACAATGCACCTCATACAAATAATAACACCATAACTTAAGCTGCCAACTCTAAATTGTGAGTAGGGTAGTTCTTCTTATGGGGCTTCAATTGCATAGAAGCATAAGCAATCACCTTCCCCTTCTGCATCAATACACCTCCCAAACCAACTCTTGAAGCATCAGAATAAAAAGTAAAGTCCACACCCTCCTCAGGTAGAGTCTACACTAGGGCCGAAGTCAACAAAGTCTTGAGCTTTTAAAAGCTTTCCTCACACTCATCAGACCACTGAAAACCCACACCCTGTTGATTCAATCTGGTCAATGGAGCTGTAATAGTGGAGAAACTCTGAACAAATCATCAGTAATAGCCTGCCAATCCCATAAAACTCCAAATCTTGGTAGGAGAAGTAGGTCGCGCCCAGCCTCTAACTGCCTCAATCTTAGCCGGATCTACTCATACCATCCTTGGACACCAAGTGTCCTAAGAATGCCATAGAATTAAGCTAAAACTCGCACTTTGAGAACTTGGTATACAATTTCTCTTCCGTCAACCATTGAAGTACAATCCTCAAGTGTTGAACATGGTCCTCCTCAATCTTGGAGTAAACCAAAATATCATCGATAAAGACAATCAGAAAAGAATTAAGGTATGGTCGAAATACCCCGTTCATCAACTCTATGAATGTTGCAGGGGTGTTTTTCAACCCAAAAGACATCACTAGAAACTCATAAAGTCCACACTGAGTCCTAAAAGCATTCTTAGGGACATCTGATGCCCTAATCTTCAACTGATGATACCCAGACCTCAAATCAATCTTAGAGAATAATGATGCTCCATGTAGCTGATCAAATAAGTCATCAATACGTGGAAGAGGATACTTATTCTTCATTGTTAACTTGTTCAACTATCTGTTATCAATGCACATCCTCGTAGTCCCATCCTTCTTTTTCACAAAGAACACAAGGGAACCCTAAGGTGACACACTAGGGCGAATAAACCCCTTACTCAACAAATCCTTCAACTCTGTTGGATCCATACGGTAAGGAGAAATAGAAATGTTCTTAGCGCCCGACTCCAAATCAATAGCAAAATCAATATCCCTATCGAGAGGAACACTTGGAAGGTCGAAAGGAAATACATCGAGAAACTCCTAAACTACGAGAACAGAATCCATGGGAGGTGGTTCAATACTAGTGTCCCGAATGAAGGTTAAGTAAGACAAACACCCTCTCTCCACCAATCTCTGAGCACGGGTGAAGAAGATAACCTTGCTAGGATAAGAGTCACTAGTACCCTTCCAATCAACCCTCGAAACACCAGGCATCGCTAAGGTCACAGTCTTTGTATTACAATCAAGAATAGCATGATAAGGAGAAATTCAATTCATACCCAAGATAACATCAAAGTTTACCATCCCTAGAATGATAAAGTCTACCCAAGTGTCATACCTCGCCAAAGAAACAAGATAAGATCAGTACACTCGATCCACCACTAAGGGCTCACCCACGGGTGCAGAAACACGAATATGTACAAGCATGTTATCACACGTCATACCAAATTCAGTAGCAAAATAGGTCGACACATAAGATAATGTAGACCCCGAATTAAACAATACAGACGCAGATTGATGGCATACTGGAATGATATCTGTAATAACATCATCAGAACTCTCCCTCTTGGGTCTCCCTAGAAAAGCATAACAATGGCCCCCTCTGCCACCTCCATCCTAGGTGGTGCCTATACCCCCACTCTACTGAGCTGCAGTACCACTACTAAAAGCTCTACCACCTCTACTTGATTGAACTCTACCTCGGTCTCTACCCTGTTGTACTAGTGGTCTGGAATGAAAGTAGGAATTAGGTTGGGGTCCTTCATGATCCCTCTGGGAAGTACACTGTCACATTAGGTGATCGTGATCTCCACAATTAAAGAAAAACCTCTAACTCAAGAACTGTTGTGCGGATCCTGAAAACCTACTAAAATTGTTTTGCCTTGTAGGTCGTTGTTGTGACCCGTACGAACCCTGACCCATGCTATAAGAACCTTGAGGTATCTGACCACCCTCAAATGTCGGCATAGATGCATAAATGGGTCCCTGATGGTGAATGGAACCACTCCCTCTATGTGATCCCCTGCCTCCAGATGAGGCACCATGAAACTGAGCTGATGTACGGGCCCCTCTTATGGTCCCCAAACTTCTCTATCTCCATCAATTCCGCCTTTTTAGGGGTGCTCTTAATGGACTGGAACGAAGCCCCCTCTCAAGACCCCCTAAACACAGCCAATCTGATAGAGAAAGTCAGCCCCCTTACAAATCTATGGATCCTTTCCATATTGTCTGGAATAATGGACAAAGCATGTCTAGACAATTGGCAAAAACAGACCTCATACTTTGTAACGGATAAGATGTCCTGTCTCAGATTCTTAAACCTCAAACGACTTTCCTGTCTCACACTCCAAGGGATGAAGTGGTCATGAAAGGAACTGGCAAAATATCTCCCAAGCAACTGGAGGAGATCCAACTGGCAAAGATCCTGAATAAGTTCTCCACCACTCTCTCGCTGGCCCATGAAGTTTGAGTGCATCATACTGAACCCCATGTGACTCAGCTAATCCAACCACCTCTAGAAACTCTCAGCATGTAGTCAGAAACTCATAAGTGTTCTGGCACTTCCCACTTTGAAACTAAGGTGGGTCCATCTTCTAGAATTTCTCATACCTGCGTTGTTCATCCTCTGTCAAAACAACCAATGGTGCAATTTGACCCCCAACTACTGATGCACGATCATTCCCAACCACGGGATCCACTGGTGACTGCCCCACCGTATCTGAAATAACTGGAGCTTGTTGTTGCTCTTGAGTCTGAGCCCACTCTCTAGTTTGAGAGTCTTGTGGTGTGGCGGTCACACCACCACTATGAATAAAGCTCTCAAGAACACATAACACCCTCAATAATGTATCCTGAAGCAAAGGTGTGGTTGCAGGCTCTCGAGGAACCTATTCCTCTATGTCATCAATCTGAGGCTCCCGAGAGACCTCTCTAGCATGGCCCCTCAGTGGTGCTGCTCCACAGGCACGACCTCTGGCTAGTGTCATTCCATGAACACAACCTCTAGCTCAGGCTCTACCCCTACCTCTAGGTGGGGCCTCAACAAATGTCTCGGAAGTGTCTCCCCTCTACCACTAGTAAATATAGCTCTAGTCCTAGTCATATGTCAAAATAATATACGATAGCTCAGTACTAAAGAAGGTAACTATGCATGATGAGAAAGACTGAACAAAAAAGAAGTTTCCTAACAATCTTCATATCCTCTCACAGATAAGTACAGACATCTCTGTACTGACCCTCGAGACTCTACGTAGACTCGACTTGTATACACATGAGACCTACGAACCCGGGGCTCTCACAAATCTCCATAGAAAGCCTCGGAAAAGAAGAGAACAAAAAATATCACGAAGATCCAGGCTCATAACCTACAAAAAAATTGTAGAAGCAAGGGTCGAGTACCAAACCACACAGTACTCAACAAGTAAACTTCTAAACACAAGTTATGGGAATAGAATACGGGTACTCTTTACACCCCAACCGAACCTCCACAACTACAACCTGCATCCAAACTAGCCCAACCTAACAGTTCACAATTTACATAGAAAAAACAGCTCAACAACAACAGTCTAACAACTACATATCATCAACAACCAACTCAATATTTATCAGTCACAAGTTCCACGGAAAGGCACTCACAATATCAACAACACACAAAATCACGTTCACCAATGATAAAGATGTGCAAGGAAATGAAATGTAATATCAAGTAAAGTGATGCATGTCTGACCTAATGATACACACCCATTGTCTCACAGCCCAGGATCCATGGGGGACATATTTGTCCATACATCCATCGTGGCGTGCGACACGACTTTCAAAAATCTATCCCAGCATGCGACACGTCCCTCAATAATAAAATTCATCGCGGTGTGCGACACATCCCTCGAATCATAATATCCGTCGCGGCGCGCGACATGTCCCTCGAAATGATACATCCTCTTTAATTTCTTACTTTTCCTCAATTAGCATAACACTTTTCACAACCATGTCTCAGAACTAATGCAAATGACATGTTCACACAAATAATGAGGAATGACCATTTACATAACAATGCACAATTCACAACAACACAATCGTGATACAACATTAATAATACATCAATAAGCCTTTCCACAAACTATCATCAACACATCACACATCAATAATTACTCACATTGCCTTTTAGCATCCTTTTTCATAATTAGAATTATTTAATATGGAAAAGTCAATCCATCACCAAGTTTCATTACTTCCCAACACATACCAAAAGGAAATAAACGATTTTATGCACTGAACAAGGGTTTAGAAATTCACTTGCATCAACCAATCGAGCAATTACTCCGAGATTTGAAACTTTCCCTTTCGTTGGGCTTCCGATAAAATGCAATCTATTCACAAAAATAATCGCGATAGGATTTCTAATTTAATATCTCACATATTACTATAATCCAGTTCCTAATTCTTGATGCTAACCAATACGTTACATATCATCGTCCTAAATTTCAAGCCAAGGGTTAAGTCTAATTTCCTCCAAATATAAAAAATTTGACAATATTCATATCAAACAATATACCTAATAATTAATTTCATATACAAATATATCAAAACTTGAATCATAATATGATAATAAAAGTAAAAATTAAATCAACTTGTTACGGAAAAATTGTCAGCAGAACCAAACCCATTTACAATAATACACTATACATC